ACTGTATAAAAAATCAAAAAAATTTTTTTATTAAATTGGCTAAGCCACAATGTCGATCATCCAAATTCGGGTTTGTCTACCATGCTTTTTTTTCCAGTATGTACATCACTTATAAATAAGGAAATTAAACTTTTTATATTTCTCAGACCCGGGTAGCTAATTTACCCATTTTAAAGTTTACTCATTATGAATATAACGTTTCATTAATTTCACTAACAAAAACATGAAATTTACTTTTACTTAGTAAAAATAATTTCCAAATTGAGATACTTTATTACTTAAAATTTGGGTAGCTTTAAATTAAGGCTTAAACTAGAGGTGCGAACCAGTTGCAAATTTTAAAACCGAATTGATTTCACGTAACTTAAAACTGGTTGCTATTCAAATCCAAATCAGGTGAAGTTTAAACCAAATCATAATCAGGTTTATATATTTATATACTGAGACTGATTTGTTGTTTTATATGTAATTATTACCAATCAAACAATATAATTCAAATTCATAATCGATGGCTATTTGTTTTTGCGCATATTTAAATTTAAATAAAACTTTTTTTTTACCTTTTTCAGAATATTGTATCTTAACTAACTTATGTAAATATATATGAGATTATATAGATTAGTTTTAAATTTAGCATGTATTTTTATAAAATTAGAAATGCTGTTTATAATTTTCGAAAAGTATTTAAAGTGTATAAGTTAGCTGAAAAATGATATCAACTAAATTGTATACAATATATGTATTGTAACATATAATTTTTTTAATAAATTTACATATCTATATACATAGCCTATACAACATTTTATTAAGCAAAAAGCATTATGCATACTAATATATATTTCATAACAAGCAAAATACATTTTATTTGCATATTTTGATAAGCATATATACAGTATACATGTAATATTTTAAACAGATCATTGCGGCAAAAATATTTTAATGTACTTGTTATTTCTTTTAAGAATAAGAATTTATTTACTAATTCAGGTGTCAACCGTGTTCGTTTAGATGTAATATGATTGCCAATATCTGAAAACAATCTTTCAGATGGAACAGAAGATGCTGGAATTGAAAGGTATTTTTTAGCAAGTTGTGCCAAGATTGGAAATTTGACTTTATTTGACTGCCACCATTTGATTGGATCTTCATCAAGTCCAATACTATCTAAAGCCAAATAACATGTTACTTCATCCAATTCAATTAGTTTTAATGCTTGATGGGGTATAGTTTTAATTGACTAAAAAAATCATTATTGTCATTATTATTATTATAGGTTGAATTGTTTGCTAATTCACCTGAATGATTATTTAAATTTAATAATTCAAAAGCCATTTTCATTTTGGTATAAGATTGCTCAAGTAATTTTTTGGCATGATCCAATTGATTTGGTGCCTATTAAAAAGTCTTAAACCGTGGATCAAGTATGGATACGATCAAAGCCAAATCTGAAGGTATATCCCAAAGCTCATCTAAAGATAAATAGATAGCTGCACGAATTCTTAATAACAAACTATTAGAATTGACAAGAGGTAAATTTTCAATGCTATTAACAATATTAGTTTTTTTTTATTTTTTTTGAAATATTTTCTTTTTACTCC